TCAGTTGGTTCTCTTAGCCACAAATATGAAAGGAGAAACATAGTGCTTTTCCTTTAAACAATTTATTGCTTTTAAGAACTTCCAGGCATACACATGCGAACCAGACGTATGCAGCATATATAATGTATCCAATAGCCGTAACGATCATATATTCACAGTGTATAGTTACCACACTGCATCGAGTACAGAACGTTGTGACATTATCCTACCCCTCCCCTACATGTTACACCACAGGTCATATGGCTTTATCAGGGGACTATATGATTTATAGGATATACACTCACCAGCCTTGTACACCAGTTCAATTGCTTGGTATCACAAACTGCTAATTAGCCAATCGCATGACAGCAACTCAATGCATTTAGGCATCTAGACGTGGTGAAGACGACTTTCTGAAGTTCAAACCAAGCATCACAATAGGGAAGAAAGGCAGTTTAAGTGACTTTGAACATGGCGTGGTTGATGGTGCCAGATGGGCTGGTCTGAGTATTTCAAAAACTGCTGATCTACTGGGATTATCATGCACAACCATCTCTAGGGTTTACAGAGAATCATCTGAAAAAGAGAAAACATCTAGTGAACAGCAGTTGTGTGGACAAAAATGCCTTGTTGATGTCAGAGGTCAGAGGAGAATGGCCAGACTGGTTCAAGATGATAGAAAGGCAACGAGGAGTGGTTTGGCCATGATCCAATATGGCCGCTTAGCCTGGGAGCTCCCGCTGGCCAAGGACCTGCATCTCTCCCTAACGGAGGAACAGGTGAGCACACCACTGCCACACTATGGGGAAAGCAGACCGGAACACCCCTGGGTCCCGATCCCGCTCACCTCGGGCCTCTAATCTGCAGCAGTCCCGACATATCACGGAGCTCTTCCACTCCCAGCAAAGGGACGGGCCGACGCCATCTTCCTCTCCTCCTCTCCAGGCCACAGCACGTGCACAGAGCCCTGTGAGGGACAGCATGCCGCAGCATGACCTCTCCTCAGAGACACATACTCTCTCCCTCAGGGATTTCCATGCTGTGGCTGCGGATATTAAAGATACATTAACCACGGCCCAAACAGACCTACGGGCTGATCTACAATCACTTGGGACCAGAATTAAAGGAGTTACATTAACTACAAGAAAGCATGCAGACACCATGCAACAGATACAAAAAGTAACTACATTTCACTCGCAACACATCCATGACTTCTATAGGCAGTTAGAAGATTTGGATAACTGTGGATGCAGACACAATATCAAATTACGAGGCCTACCAGAATCTGTGGAACCAGGCGACATTCCTAAAGCTGTAGTGGCGATCTTCAATGATCTGCTAGGCCACCCGCCTGTTACCCCCATCGAATTGGAATGTGCCCATAGATCTGTTCACCCCAGGGGTAGGGATACTGACCCCCCATGGGACATTGTCTGTTGTCTCATCAGTTTCCCCCTTAAAGAATTTATCTTAAGACGCACTAGAGAGCGACGGCACCTTTTACACTGCTGAAACGAAAATATAACTATTTCAAGATCTCTCTATTCTAACTTTACAACAAAGAAGGGATCTACGTCCCCTGCTGGACTCTTTTTGTTCTAGAAACATCTCCTACACATGGCGATTTATTTTTTGTCTCTCAGCCCAAGCTCACGGCCACACAGGCTATTTGAAGGTTTCCGGAAGACCTGCATAACTTCTGCTCTACCCTCGACATCCCAGTGATTGATCTACCAGACTGGTATCGATCAACGCATCTCCCTAATTCATGGAATCCTAGCCCTGAAAACACTGACATGGAGTGGCAAATCCAACACCTCCGTCATCGCCAATATATCCCTTCCACTCCCCTGAGACCATCGGCCCGAGGGTCACAAATGGAGAACAGCCCAACGGCTTCGCCAGCACATCGGAGACCCCGATGCGTAGTATGATTGACAAGACTCAATCTGCAATTTAGCCCACCTCATCACCCTTTTTCATCCTTGGAGCTTATTCGCCCCTTCTCCGCTAAGCTCCTCCGATCCACCCATGTGCGGATCCCCAACCATCTCAGTCTCGAACACACAAGAGAAGCCTTTCCGCCATATCAGATCATGTCAGTCCACCAACTTCCATCTACTCAAGGATTGAGAAGTCACTTTACCTAGCCCCTTCCATCCTTCCTCCTCTACACATGGCAACTAAGCGGTGCCCCCCGATGCTTCAACAGCAACAAGCGCTCCTACGCTGTGATGGCTGCTCTTCATGAAGCTCCCATTTGGACCCCCCTTGTCTGATCGAAGTGGGTGGACTCCTTCACCTGCGATGGATATGGAAACTTCTGCCACCTTTCTATCCAGCCATGCACAGACGGTTATATGCTTGACAGTCTTGTGCCATCCTACAGGTGGAAGACCAAAGCTCACAGAAGATAGTTCTTTCAGAAGGAAGCAACGTGAAATTACACCTGCCATATCTTCATGCACTGAGAAGAGAACTCCACACTCCACATCCCTGAACATGACCGCATCATTTTCCAGTGTTTCTTAGGGGAGGGAGCAAGGGGGGAGAGAGAGAACATGAACATGACACAAAACTGGCTAAAAATAGAAAGAGTTCAACTGGTGGTGAGTTTTGCCTCCAAGCACTGGTGGGTTGCCCCCTTAGACCAGGGAATATCTTGACCTCTGTCCCTATTACCTCTCAACCTCACCTATTGCTCTGATCTGGCCGCATAGGTCAAACATTCCAGTTTGATGCTTGATCCCTCATGCCCCTAACTCCCAGTCCCCCTCCCCCCTCCCCTTTCCCATATTCCCTCACTATTACCCCCCAAAGTGTCTGCCCACATTACTCAGGATGTTATTGAAGCCTAAGTTTTTAGGTTTCATTTTGCATGCATGCAGTTAAATACTTAATATGGAAATGTATTTGCACTACTCAGGACTCTTCTTCCAACAATGTTCATTGTTTATACATGGTTATTATTGATATGTCTCTTTATGCAGGATACTCCTATGTATGTTTGATGATACTGCTACCCTGCCTTCCTCTGCCAAAACTGACAAGACAAAACCAAGGTCCATATCATTAGGGCAGTGCCACCTGGAGGTGTTGACCCTCAAGATGTGACCCCATTCCCTACTTCAACCTCAGGGATCCCCTGTACCAATAACAACGCTGACATTCTCTTGTACTCATTAGAGATGAGCGAATTATTCAAAAATTCGATTCGGCTGATTCGCCAAATTCGCGGAATAAATTTGATTCGAGGCGAATATATTCGCTGCGAATTTAACTTATAAAAAGGGTGTTTCTAGGCTTCAGAGAGCCTTTATATTAGTGCAGAACACTGTACCTTTAATTTAAATGCCCTTGGAGTCTGCTGGGGAAGAGAACTAATACTGTCAGTCAGTATGACATGCAGATGAGTGCCGTCGATCTTAGAATCACCGCACACTTCACTCATTTGGGCAGTCACGGGGCCAAAACCAGAGTGTGGAGCCACAGTGTGGCGGTGGAGGCAGCAGCAATGGGAGGCCATACAGCACCCTATGACAAAATGGAACCCACCAGTAGTGTGAGGAGACCTGAAAGTGGCACATGGCAGAGTGTGGCGATGGAGACAGCAGCAATGGGAGGCCGTACAGGGACACATGACACACTCTGGACCTGGCAGCAGCATGAGGAGGCGGTACAGGGGCCCATGACAGATTACGGGCCTGGCAGCAGCAGTGGGCGGGCGGTGGATGCAGCAGTATTCGGAAGCCAAACACAGGCCTCGGTTAAAAAGCGGAAGCCGTCAGCAGCGTGAGCAGACGACAGAGGCACATGGCGCAGGGTGGCGGTGGAGGCAGCAGTATTCGGAAGCCATACACAGGCCTAGGTTAAAAAGCGGAAGCCGTCAGCAGCGTGAGCAGACGACAGAGACACATGGCGCAGGGTGGCAGTGGAGGCAGCAGTATTCGGAAGCCATACACAGGCCTAGGTTAAAAAGCGGAAGCCGTCAGCAGCGTGAGCAGACGACAGAGACACATGGCGCAGGGTGGCGGTGGATGCAGCAGTATTCGGAAGCCAAACACAGGCCTCGGTTAAAAAGCGGAAGCCGTCAGCAGCGTGAGCAGACGACAGAGGCACATGGCGCAGGGTGACGGTGGAGGCAGCAGCAATGGAAGGCCATACAGCACCCTATCACAAAATGGAACCCACCAACAGTGTAAGGAGACCTGAAAGTGGCACATGGCGCAGGGTGGCGGTGGAGGCAGCAGTATTCGGAAGACATACACAGGACTAGGTTAAAAAGCGGAAGCCGTCAGCAGCGTGAGCAGACGACAGAGGCACATGGCGCAGGGTGGCGGTGGATGCAGCAGTATTCGGAAGCCAAACACAGGCCTCGGTTAAAAAGCGGAAGCCGTCAGCAGCGTGAGCAGACGACAGGCACATGGCGCAGGGTGGCGGTGGAGGCAGCAGCAATGGGAGGCCATACAGCACCCTATGACAAAATGGAACCCACCAGCAGTGTGAGGAGACCTGAAAGTGGCACATGGCAGAGTGTGGCGATGGAGACAGCAGCAATGGGAGGCCGTACAGGGACCCATGACACACTCTGGACCTGGCAGCAGCATGAGGAGGCGGTACAGGGGCCCATGACAGATTACGGGCCTGGCAGCAGCATGAGGAGTCGGTACGGGGGCCCATGGCAGATTACGGGCCTGGCAGCAGCATGAGGAGGCGGTACAGGGGCCCATGGCAGAGTGGCGGAGCGTAAGCAGCTAAAATTGAAGGCCATACAGAGGCCTATGTTAAAAAGTCCCCCCAGCAGCAGCGTGGGGAGACGACTAATAGTCGTCTCCCCACGCTGCTGCTGGGGGGACTTTTTAACATAGGCCTTTGTATGGCCTTCAATTTAAGCTGCTTACGCTTCGCCACTCTGCCATGGGCCCCTGTACCGCCTCCTCTTGCTGCTGCCAGGTCCAGAGTGTGTCATGGGTACCTGTACGGCCTCCCATTGCTGCTGACTTCATCGTCAGACTCTGCCATGTGCCACTTTCAGGTCTCCTTACACTGTTGGTGGGTTCCATTTTGTGATAGGGTGCTGTATGGCCTTCCATTGCTGCTGCCTCCACCGCCACCCTGGTGGATGCAGCAGTATTCGGAAGCCAAACACAGGCCTCGGTTTAAAAAGCGGAAGCCGTCAGCAGCGTGAGCAGACGACAGGCACATGGCGCAGGGTGGCGGTGGAGGCAGCAGCAATGGGAGGCCATACAGCACTGTATGACAAAATGGAACCCACCAGCAGTGTGAGGAGACCTGAAAGTGGCACATGGCAGAGTGTGGCGATGGAGACAGCAGCAATGGGAGGCCGTACAGGGACCCATGACACACTCTGGACCTGGCAGCAGCATGAGGAGGCGGTACAGGGGCCCATGACAGATTACGGGCCTGGCAGCAGCATGAGGAGTCAATACGGGGGCCCATGGCAGATTACGGGCCTGGCAGCAGCATGAGGAGGCGGTACAGGGGCCCATGGCAGAGTGGCGGAGCGTAAGCAGCTAAAATTGAAGGCCATACAGAGGCCTATGTTAAAAAGTCCCCCCAGCAGCAGCGTGGGGAGACGACCTGCTGCCAGGTCCAGAGTGTGTCATGGGTCCCTGTACGGCCTCCCATTGCTGCTGACTTCATCACCAGACTCTGCCATGTGCCACTTTCAGGTCTCTCCTTACACTATTGGTGGGTTCCATTTTGTGATAGGGTGCTGTATGGCCTTCCATTGCTGCTGCCTCCACCGCCACCCTGCGCCATGTGCCTCTGTCGTCTGCTCATGCTGCTGACGGCTTCCGCTTTTTAACCGAGGCCTGTGTTTGGCTTCCGAATACTGCTGCATCCACCGCCACCCTGCGCCATGTGTCTCTGTCGTCTGCTCACGCTGCTGACGGCTTCCGCTTTTTAACCTAGGCCTGTGTATGGCTTCAGAATAATGCTGCCTACACCGCCACCCTGCGCCATGTGCCTCTGTCGTCTGCTCACGCTGCTGCCAGGTCCATACTGATTCATCGCCCCCTGTACCGGCTCCTCATGAACGTGGTTCAGCGGGTTTGCATCACTTAACGGCAAATCGTTGACAAACGCTGGGACGTTCAGTGTTGTGCGCTTTAAGCCAGACACCAAAGGGCAGCACAGACCTGTTATTACTCGCTCAAGCATGGCTGAACAAAACCAGTCTCTACCACAAATTGGACCCAGACCTGCCCAGGGTCTCGTAAGTAGATTGCACGGAGGAGTCTTGCACGGAAGAGATTGCACGGAGGAGTCGACGACTATCAAGAGTCCAATGGCAGAGTGGCGGAGCAGAAGCAGCTTCAATTGAAGGCCATACACAGGCCTAGGTTTAAAAGTCCCTCACAGTTAATTCCAATAACGAACTCTACTCCTCCGTGCAATCTACTTACGAGAGGAAACTTTGCCCCCGCTACTCCTCACTGGCTGACTGCTACTTTCTCCGTGCACACCGGCACCACTACTGGCCGTGGTGGTAGGCTGCAGTGGAGCTGGTGCTCTAGTCCGTGGCCGTTTGCCTCCACTGACACTGCTGCGACCCTGCTGCCTCCTGGGCAACTCACCGACTGTTTTGCTCGCTGGCAAGCTGGCACCCTCTTCTCCTGATGATGCGGAAGCAATAGCCTGATGACGACGAGGCTGCCAAGTGCGATCAGCCTCATCATCATCAATTAGGGTCTCCGCGTCACTACTAGCCCCCTCGGCTGCGTGTGGGTCAGGAGACAGACCTGTCTCTAGACCGGCTACTGAGCCACTCTCCTCGCCAGTACTTCTTCGCCTGGCTGCTGAAGAGGCGGATGTCTCCCCCCGTTCCTGACCGCCCTCTGTTAGCTCTTCCTCACTGTACAGTGGGGCTGAGCCCACAGCATGCGATACTTCGCTTGGTGAGGGAACACCAAAGGACAGGGGCAGGTAGAGGACACGTGATTTCAGTGGGCTTGCTCCCGGGCCATGCCAACTAACGGTTGTGTCTGACGTACCCACCGACCATTGGCTGTAGGTGTCAGAGGTGACCTGGGAAGAGGAAGACGACCGAGTCAACCAATCGATGACGGCAGGGTTGTCGGTGGAGATACGACCGCTGGATGACACCGGGAGCACTGGCCTCTGGCTGCGACTAGTGCTGCCTCGACCCCTTCCTCTGCTGCCACGTCTGCTCGCTCCTGAAACATTGCCTCCTCTGCCACTCCTCTGCGTGTTGTCTGACATACTCTTTAATTCAATAGTGGTTGTGAAGCAGAAAGTAACGATTCTGTGTGTCCCCGAGTAACAATTCTGTGTCCCCGAGTAACGATTCTGTGTCCCTGAGTAACGATTCTGTGTCCCTGAGTAACGATTCTGTGTCCCCGAGTAACGATTCTGTGTCCCTGTCCCCGAGTAACGATTCTGTGTCCCCGAGTAACCATTCTGTGTCCCCGAGTAACGATTCTGTGTCCCCGAGTAACGATTCTGTGTCCCTGAGTAACGATTCTGTGTCCCCGAGTAACGATTCTGTGTCCCTCAGTAAACAATTCCTGTGTCCCTGAGTAACAATTCTGTGTCCCTGAGTAACGATTCTGTGTCCCTGAGTAACGATTCTGTGTCCCTGAGTAACAATTCTGTGTCCCTGAGTAACAATTCTGTGTCTGTCCCTGAGTAACGATTCTGTGTCCCTGAGTAACGATTCTGTGTCCCTGAGTAACGATTCTGTGTCCCTCAGTAACGATTCTGTGTCCCTCAGTAACGATTCTGTGTCCATGAGTAACGATTCTGTGTCCCTGAGTAACGATTCTGTGTCCCTGAGTAACGATTCTGTGTCCCTCAGTAACGATTCTGTGTCCCTGAGTAACGATTCTGTGTCCCTGAGTAACGATTCTGTGTCCCTGAGTAACGATTCTGTGTCCCTGAGTAACGATTCTGTGTCCCTGAGTAACGATTCTGTGTCCCTGAGTAACCATTCTGTGCCCCTGAGTAACGATTCTGTGTCCCTGAGTAACAATTCTGTGTCCCTCAGTAACGATTCTGTGTCCCTCAGTAACGATTCTGTGTCCCTCAGTAACGATTCTGTGTCCCTGAGTAACAATTCTGTGTCCCTGAGTAACAATTCTGTGTCCCTCAGTAACGATTCTGTGTCCCTGAGTAACAATTCTGTGTCCCTGAGTAACAATTCTGTGTCCCTGAGTAACGATTCTGTGTCCCTGAGTAATGATTCTGTGTCCCTCAGTAACGATTCTGTGTCCCTCAGTAACGATTCTGTGTCCATGAGTAACGATTCTGTGTCCCTGAGTAACGATTCTGTGTCCCTGAGTAACGATTCTGTGTCCCTCAGTAACGATTCTGTGTCCCTCAGTAACGATTCTGTGTCCCTGAGTAACGATTCTGTGTCCCTGAGTAACGATTCTGTGTCCCTGAGTAACGATTCTGTGTCCCTGAGTAACGATTCTGTGTCCCTGAGTAACCATTCTGTGCCCCTGAGTAACGATTCTGTGTCCCTGAGTAACAATTCTGTGTCCCTCAGTAACGATTCTGTGTCCCTCAGTAACGATTCTGTGTCCCTCAGTAACGATTCTGTGTCCCTGAGTAACGATTCTGTGTCCCTGAGTAACAATTCTGTGTCCCTGAGTAACAATTCTGTGTCCCTCAGTAACGATTCTGTGTCCCTGAGTAAACAATTCTGTGTCCCTGAGTAACAATTTCTGTGTCCCTGAGGAACGATTCTGTGTCCCTGAGTAACAATTCTGTGTCCCTGAGTAACGATTCTGTGTCTGTCCCTGAGTAACGATTCTGTGTCCCTGAGTAACAATTCTGTGTCCCTGAGTAACGATTCTGTGTCCCTGAGTAACGATTCTGTGTCCCTCAGTGACGATTCTGTGTCCCTGAGTAACGATTCCGTGTCCCTGAGTAACGATTCTGTGTCCCTGAGTAACGATTCTGTGTCCCTGAGTAACGATTCTGAGTGTCCCTGAGTAACCATTCTGTGCCCCTGAGTAACGATTCTGTGTCCCTGAGTAACAATTCTGTGTCCCTCAGTAACGATTCTGTGTCCCTCAGTAACGATTCTGTGTCCCTCAGTAACGATTCTGTGTCCCTGAGTAACGATTCTGTGTCCCTGAGTAAAAATTCTGTGTCCCTGAGTAACAATTCTGTGTCCCTCAGTAACGATTCTGTGTCCCTGAGTAACAATTCTGTGTCCCTGAGTAACAATTCTGTGTCCCTGAGTAACAATTCTGTGTCCCTGTCCCTGAGTAACAATTCTGTGTCCCTGAGTAACGATTCTGTGTCTGTCCCTGAGTAACGATTCTGTGTCCCTGAGTAACAATTCTGTGTCCCTGAGTAACGATTCTGTGTCCCTGAGTAACGATTCTGTGTCCCTGAGTAACGATTCTGTGTCCCCGAGTAACGATTCTGTGTCCCCGAGTAACGATTTCTGTGTCCCCGAGTAACCATTCTGTGTCCCCGAGTAACGATTCTGTGTCCCTGAGTAATGATTCTGTGTCCCCGAGTAACGATTCTGTGTCCCTCAGTAACAATTCTGTGTCCCTGAGTAACAATTCTGTGTCCCCTGAGTAACGATTCTGTGTCCCTGAGTAACGATTCTGTGTCCCTGAGTAACAATTCTGTGTCCCTGAGTAACAATTCTGTGTGTCTGTGTCCCTGAGTAACGATTCTGTGTCCCTGAGTAACAATTCTGTGTCCCCCTGAGTAACGATTCTGTGTCCCTGAGTAACGATTCTGTGTCCCTCAGTAACGATTCTGTGTCCCTCAGTAACGATTCTGTGTCCCATGAGTAACGATTCTGTGTCCCTGAGTAACGATTCTGTGTCCCTGAGTAACGATTCTGTGTCCCTCAGTAACGATTCTGTGTCCCTCAGTAACGATTCTGTGTCCCTGAGTAACGATTCCGTGTCCCTGAGTAACGATTCTGTGTCCCTGAGTAACGATTCTGTGTCCCTGAGTAACGATTCTGTGTCCCTGAGTAACCATTCTGTGCCCCTGAGTAACGATTCTGTGTCCCTGAGTAACAATTCTGTGTCCCCTCAGTAACGATTCTGTGTCCCTCAGTAACGATTCTGTGTCCCTCAGTAACGATTCTGTGTCCCTGAGTAACGATTCTGTGTCCCTGAGTAACAATTCTGTGTCCCTGAGTAACAATTCTGTGTCCCTCAGTAACGATTCTGTGTCCCTGAGTAACAATTCTGTGTCCCTGAGTAACAATTCTGTGTCCCTGAGTAACGATTCTGTGTCCCTGAGTAACAATTCTGTGTCCCTGAGTAACGATTCTGTGTCTGTCCCTGAGTAACGATTCTGTGTCCCTGAGTAACAATTCTGTGTCCCTGAGTAACGATTCTGTGTCCCTGAGTAACGATTCTGTGTCCCTGAGTAACGATTCTGTGTCCCTGAGTAACGATTCTGTGGCCCTAAAGTCTCTGTGGCCCTAACTCTGTCCCTAATACAGACAGGTCTGTCTCTCTTGAATGACCGGAGGCTAATGGAGAATTCTAAGATGGCCGTGATTTATAGCTCCACCATTACACAGTGCTGGCTGGCTGGCTGCTGATTGGCTAATGCGATCACATGTCATGAATGAATGCATTATGGGTCAGCGCGCCTTGTCTGCGCGCCTTCCCAGAGATCCCCGCTCCGTCGCCACACATGTCGCCGCCATTTTTGGGAAAATTCGATTCGTGCATCCGAAGTTTGCTAATTTTCGGATTCGGCGCAAATCGAATTTTTCCTAATCTTCGAAACGAATTCCACTTCGCCATGTTCGATTC